AAAGCTAAACATGAAAATTCAGGAGGGGGAAGCAGAAAGCCACCTGCAATCTTGAAAAGATGAGAAAAAACAAGAGTGGTGGGTTCAGCGACCTGTCTGAGAAGATGTACATAGCTCAGTGTGGAGTCCTGGGCCAGAGCTATATGTGGCAGGACATGAGAGTACAGGAGCCAGTGTGGGAAACACTTCATTTCTTGGCAAGGGGAATCTGCAAATGCATGTCCCCCACTTCTACATCCTGCTGATTTCTACTGGAGTCTGTTATAATTATTGGGAGCATCAGACATCTGCTTGCTTCCATGGATGTTGCTAAGGCTACTGGTGGGCTGATTGATGTGTGGTTACCACCAGAGAGCAGCCTGAGTGGCAGCAGCTGACCTTCTTAGGAGCATCTGTATTGCTCCTCACCTTCCCTCTGGCTTTTGCTGTGACCTTTGGATACAGATCGATCCTAGATTAGTGTTTGTTAACATTAAATACCCTAAAATTAGGATACAAGTAGACAAGTTCTGAAAAGGTTAGACAAGCTCGGGGCAAGTTTGTTCAAGACTCTGCTTGCCATGCTGGCAGTTGGTCTGTGTGGTCTATTTTCCAAAAGTATTTTCCAGTCCTATTACCCACGATTCCAGAGCAAAACCAGCTGGACAGCCCCAGGATGGGGGAGCTGTGGTATGGCACCTGTACCTTCTCAGCTGGGCTTCACAAAGCCCTGATATAGTCCAGGGGATGGACTATAACTTATCTTTCTGGGCACTCTGTGGTGTGTTGATGGAACTAGTATTTTGCCAAGCAAAGATGGGTAAATGCATCCAGCTGGACTGGCTTCAGTTCAGAAGTGGCAGGCAAGGTTTTTCATTTTCCCTTGAACAGTTATATCGTCCTCCCCGCTCCGTTTGCAAACTTCTGGCTACACAAATATATCAAAGTACACTTCTACATTATATATATGATATGGAAGCTGTAGGCCATACAAAACAAAATAAATTCGTATCTGTACATTGTACCCAGCCATGTAGGAAAGCCCATAGAGAACATCACTGATCATCAACTATGAACTGGTTAAATAAGAACTTTGATCCATATCATCAAAGGTATTTCGTGCATCTTTGCAACATCTTCAAGTGTTCAGCAACAAAAAAAGCTCTGAGGGGAAAATTAACTGTGTCATGGGTGATATAAAGCTGCATCAGTACCTATAAAGCGCCCTAGCAATACAAGAGAATTGAAGTAATGAACAGAAATGCTCAGTTAGACTTTTTTCCATATTTTATGTTAATCATGAGGGTAGAGCTGAAATTAGCTTTAATTGATATTAAGGGTTGGAAAAATGAATCCTCTGGAGAATGAGTCTTTTTAACCTTTAATGATGCAGTAAATAAAATATCCTGTCAACATTTGTGTGATAGTAAGGGTTTTCAAAATTCCGTATCTGTGCGGTGAGCGATTCAATACGCCTAATTCTCTCCATTACAGCAGATAAAGGTGATGTTGGTGCATAAATTCAGTTTCAGGTTTTCCATGTTTCCAAGCTATCTGTCATACCCTGGTAACTCCCCCCACTGGCTTGTTACTTCTAATAGGGAGATGGAGAGAGGAAGGAGGGACTAGGAGAACTAAACAAATTCTGCATGCCGGCTCTTTCATCTGTGCACCTTCTGACTTGTAGGCTTCTGATGCCAGAGTATCCATAGAGAAACTGTGCCTCAGTAGAGGGTAAGGTAAAAGGAGCAACGATACCTATTCTTACTTTCAGTTGAAATATGCCTGAAAATGTTTCATTTCTCACTTTAAAGGCAAGGCGGAACTGCAAAAGACTTAAATACTTTAGGGGCACTCAGTTTGGTAATAGTCAGACCATTCTTCTCTCTGTCAGGGCTCAGCCTGGTATTGAAACACCTAATAACTGACTTGGTGAAGCACATGAAATATTCCTCTGCTGTAAACAGGAAACCTGTTTTTCATAAAATCCATTTGATCGTTGCAATCAACTGGAAGTATTCCATCATTTAGGCACGTTACTGTAGCATTGACAGTTACTCTGCTATAGTTAACTGAGAAACAGAAAACAAATCTCCCCGCTCATAACCATCTCCGTCTTTCATCAGGGCTGATACAATAACAGTTCTCATATCATGGGGTATATATCCTTTGGAAAGTTCCCAGCAAGCCTTTCTGTATTAAGGGGAATATTTTTCTGCATACTTACAGAAGTCTTCCTGAGTGATGCTAGTGTTTTACCAGGGTGCGAGTCCATTACAATTGCACAGTGATTTGACAATAACTTCTCTGATGAGACACGGTTGTAAAATCTTTGGGAAAAGCATATTTTTTTAAAGTGCTGATGTAGCATTGATTTTCTTCATTCTTTTTTTCCTTTTTACTTAGGGTTTGGAGGGATTTAGGGAGGAAGTGAAACAGAAGTGTCCCCAAAATTAACTTCTACCTTGTACTGTGTTTGGAAGCTCTTTCCTCTGACAAAGACCCAGTTATCTTGGGACCATACGATGTCCCAGGCCTGCCAAGGATGTGTTGAAACAGTTAAAGGAATCAGCAAGGTCTAGATAAAGTAAATATGTTTTATCCGCAAAAACATTCAAAAGTTATTTGTCCGGTTTAAAGAGGAAACAGCCAAACCAGTGAAAACAAACCTGATGAATGCACAGCTACCAGGACCAGCAGACTCCTGGCCAAGTCCCATCCATTTCTGAGGGATGGCCTGCAAAGCAATGGAAAGTTCTGGGAATGATGGAGGCAGCCATTGTAAGCAAAGTAACTTTATGGAGTTAAGACACAGAGGATCTAATTTTCTTCTAGAAGACTCATTACCATGATTTTGTTACACATTATTTATGGGCTGTTATGATAGTCCTGGCAGGTCATAATTGGCTGAAGCCAGAGAATTAGTCACATTTTTCACATTTGGAAGAATGATCTGTGCAGTAACGCTAATGACTTCATTCCTGGAGATGCCGTGCACTGGGCAGGGACTGCCTGTCTTTGGGTACAGCTGGATTAACCCTTTCTGGTTCTAAGCACCAGACAAAGGCGCTTGATTTTGTTCATGAGATACCAGAATGACTTTGCTTCAAAGCAGCTGTTTGGCATGTAAGTGACTTGCTGCTTTCATGACGGCTTCCCCTTTCTTTCCCTTTCCTTGAATCTGGAGTTAGTTTTGCCTAGCACTATTTTTCTATGGGTAAAATGCATTTTTTTAACTAGTCTGTCCATGCAGGGGCATTGCACTCTCCCCATCGGAGCTGCTTCAGCTTTGCAGCAGTGAGACAGGCCCAGCTCTTCCACTGATGGTTTTTAAGAGATGAGCAGCAGCTTAAACTGAGGAAGGGCCTTGTTGGCAGCACTCCTAACTATGCCTTGCTGTGTACATAGCAAAACCCAAACAATTTTTCACAGATGATGAATCAGAAGGGAGCACTATAATTGTTTTATCTGCCTTTTGGGACAGCACAAGCTGCTTACTCTTGAATTAGAGACTGGTGAATGTTGCTGTATCTTCCTGAAAAATGGACAGCTTTGGGGGATTTCCAGTGATCAGGAATCCACTGCACTGTTGGCTGACCACTCTCAAACCCCTAAATTGCCGTTGTTGTTAGAATGGACATGAATTCTTGAATAAATCTCTACTATGTTGGATTGTAGCATTTGGGTCATGTTGCGGTTTTGTCTGTTAAACTAAAGAGAAAATCATGTGGCCGTGGGAGAGAATTATAGACCGTGATTCGGAAAATATTGCCTTGGAGTGAAGGATGCCAGGAGAAAGTTAAGGGGTGACTTGATCTGGTTTGCAGCTCTTCTAAAAACCTTTCCCTTTTTACTAGCATCCTTCTTGGTTTGTAGGTGTCAAGACCAGCACAATATACTGGGGTTAATTAGTGTGTGAAATTCAGAGCCGGGAGAACCTCCCACCTACTTTTTGATATTCCTTGCTTATATGGTCAGGGATGGCATAAGTCCTTTGGTCAAAGCATCACGCTGATGGCAGGACCAGCCCTTAGGGCCCAAGCTGTAGAATGCTCTGGAGCAGTTCAAGAGCAAAGCAGTTTGCAGCAGGCTAACATCCCACCATGGGCAATGTGTAAACCCCATCCATGGCTCTGGGAGGCAAGCCTCAGCTATAAGCTGTGTCCAGACAATTTTGCCAGGAGCAGTGGCCCTCCTGCAGTGCTGTCACCACCTCCTGCAAGCTGCTCCTGCTGCTCTCTGCAATCCAGCCTCTGTCGCTCCAGCATGGAAAAGGGTCGGCCAGTGCTGAACTGAAGGCAACCTCTTAAACTAAGAGGTGGGATTTATAGTGTTTGTGAAATACTGTACAAATGGGAGGGTTTGATCACATTAAATGAAGGATTAGATTCATTAAATTAAGTAGAAAGCAATGTACATGGTTAATTTAAAGGGTTGAATACCACCTGAATACAGTTTTTAAATAGGAAGTGATCAGCCGCTATACACGACAGAGCAGCTCTCAAACATTTTTAATGACAGTATTTGTACACGCTTTAGTCTAATTAACACATGGCACAAGAGAAGTTTGGTAACTAGGATGTAGTCTCACACCAGTTGTCTCAATTATAACACATGAAATTTCAAGCATCAATACACCAAGAACATCACCCGTCCCTGCCCAGCAAGGTCTGGTGATTTGCATCTCCATCACACCTTGTTTCTCTGGGATGTGACAGTAATTCCTTCTCTCCAGATGGAGAAGTCCCCTTAGAAGTAAGTGGATGATCAGCTTCTCATTTGGATTTATTTCTTGTTTTCTGCAATCAAAATTAAGGGGACTGTGTATTGTCACTGCCCAGTGATCCACATTACATTTGACAGCTATGTTTATTAGTAAATATGTAGTAATTGCTTCCAGAATTAACTAGAGCTCCTCTGCCGTGTCTGTACGTGTAGGAGAGATTTCCTGCAATGTGTGATCCCTTTGTTAGCACAGCACTCATTAGATGCCAGAGAATTGTTGCACACACGGCTGGGTTTTATGCCTCTGCAGGTGCGGTGTGGGTTCGGGGAACGAACTTCAGAATAATCGGTTTCTCTGGTTTTAAGGATCCCTGTGAACTCAGCTTAAGAGGGATCTGCAACAATAAGAGGAAAAACACACTTGGAGATAGACAAATTAAATAAGTAGAGATTAAAGGAAAGAAACTTGGCCGCGGTTTGGACATAACTTGATCCATAGTGCCTGAAAGTGCACCTCCCCCTGAAAGTGCAAAGCATCTGGTGTCAGCACCCACAGTGAGAAACCAGGCACCTGGCTCTTCATGTGCGAGTTTCAAAACGTAATGTGCTCCTCACCTGAGTTTCTTTGCAGGTCTGGAAGGTGAAATGTTGCAATAGGATGGTGATGGCAACTTTCAGGGTGAGGAGAGCAAACCGCATCGCAATGCAGTTCCTGGGACCAGCTCCAAAGGGCAGGTACGTATATGGGTCTATGGCCTTTTTGTTTTCCTTACTGAACCTGGATAATGACATGGTTGGGGAAAAAAAATGAAGGCAGCAAAAAACCAAAAAGCTACACATCTGTATTACTTATCCAGAGATCTCTTGCTGGTGCCCTACAGAGACTTGTTTGGTTTTTCGCTAAGGTATCTCAGCATACCCCAGCAATTGAGTGCTGTGTCAGAGCCCTCGTCCAGGATGGGGTGCGATCCCACTTCAGGGTTTAGTTAACTTCTACTCTGGATGGACAGAATTAAAGAGTGATGGGAAAATCTACACGCTCTCCCAATATAACTGATATTTCCTATTTGTCGTATTTAGTGAGAGAGAAACCAGGGGTTTGTCTGTTAGGATCAGCTTATGGCTTCAGGCTTGCTGGGAACGAGAGGTTGATACCGATTATAAAAATAACCAACTAGGGAAAAGCTATCGCTTCCTTGAAAACAAAGAGGGAAGGCAACTCTGGAAGGATCAACTCCGGTATGTTTTGTAGCAAAGCCTGGGTGATGGAAACAGGTGCAGCAATGAAGATTATACAGCAAGATGGCTAGCAATTACAAAAAAACCTCACCACTTACCCACTCTGTCAGCAAGCCTAAAAACTGTGTATAAGATGTTGTGAGGTATCAGTGTTATTCCCCCAATAAGATTACATTGTTTGAAACCCTGCTTTAAGTGCAAAGCTCATTTTCTTCTTAAAATGACATTCCCATGAGCCTGCAATTTCTCATCGGTATTGTTTGTAAAAAGATAGGAAGAACACCATTAGGAAGCTAATCAGAGATTAATACTTAATTACTACATGAGGAAAAAGCAGCATGATATTTCTTCCCTTTCATTATGCCTTTTGTACCTTTCTGGTCTGAACTCTTCTGGGTTTGGCCAGTATTCGGAGTTGTAGTGCAGGGTATGGGATGGGATCATAACAATGGCTCCTTTGGGAATGGTCACTCCATTTATTTCTACGTCTTTCTTGCAGGTTCTCTCAAGCCGTCCTCCAATGGGGAAGAGCCGAAGGGTTTCGCTCACTGTCATGTCAAGATATTCCAAATGCATCACTGCCTCATATGTGAGAGGAGCCTGTAGGATGACAGGAGAAAGGTGACCAGGTATGTTGGCATGAGGATTGGATTGTCCCAAAATGAATGCTGAGACCAGAGTGTCCCCAACCCTTGCTGCCCCAACTCAGATTCACTGAAGAACAAAATGCAAGGAAGAAATTGCGTAATTGGTTTCATTTTCCATCCCTGAGTGATGGAAATGCCTGGAAATCCACATCCACTCGTGCATGGGTGCAGAGTTTGGCAAATGGGTTTGTGCAGTGGGGTGGCCTGTAAGGTGTCAGCTGCCAAAATAAAATCACTACAGGGCTGAGTTGTGTCAGTGTGTGTGCCTCTGAGAGCTGTCAGAAGATCCCAGGAGGAGGGTCTTTAGGAGCTAGAGATTTCTCATTGTCTTGACTGAACAAGGAGGACAGCAGGGTCAGAGGGTCTTCACCATCACTCAAGGTCCCCTTACCTTGTTGGGTAAAACGGTGTCGATTTCCTCCAGCAATTTTTGCTGCACGTCGGGATGCGTGGCCAGTGCGTGCGCCAGGTAACAAAGCGCGTTGCTGGTGGGCTCGTAGCCAGCAAAAATAAACATGAGTGCCTGTGACAGGATCTCTCTGTCAGTCAGGCCTGTGAGGAGAGAGGATGTGAGGAGATGAGCAAAACTGGTGTTGGTTTATGGTCTCAGCAAGGAACGGGTAGCAACAAGCGGGGTTGACGCAGGTTTGTTGTGGTCGTTTTCTGATAGCACATTTGTAGCTACTCTGCTATCTGTCTGGAAAAAGTCATTTGATAGAGGACCCAGATGATTTCCCAGGTATAAATAATTGACACAGCAGTCCTAGTCCCTCGCAAAGGACCTGGGGGATTCCCCTTAGCCCCAGTGCTGGCAACAAGGGACAGACTACTGCCTGGAGCTGGTCGGTGGAGATGGTGGTGACCCATTGAGCCTTTCTCTGGGAAACAGCTCCCCATATTCTCCTCACTCCCACAGCCCCTGTTCCCATGATGAATATTTGGATGTTGTTACCTTTAAATGAGCGATTTGCTTCATTGCTCCCGTCACTGGTTGAGTTCTGGGATTCAATCATCAGCTGCAGAAAATCTACTCTGCCCTGAGAAGAAAAGCAGGAGAGTTTCTTTGACAGGTCCCTTGGGGGGCTCAGATAAGCAGATTTCATAGCCTAAGCACAATTTTTAAACTGAAAGTGTCCACAAAATGCACGACTTCCTTGTTGTAAAACACAACACTTGCATTTTTATTTTGGAAACCTATCTGTCCTTTTCATGAAGCCATCAGGTGGGAGAGCAGTGTCTCGAATGAATTTCAGGATAGGGATCCAAACTCTAAAAGGGAGAATTTTGACAGGAAGCAGCTGTAATTTTTGAAAAGCGAGAGGGGAAGACACAACCCTGAAAGGTGATATTGCTGCTCTTGTGCTGCTTACTCTGCGCTCTCTTATCCTCTGCCTAATCTTCTTCAGGGAGTCTCCTACTTTGTTGACTTATTACAAGTTTTGCAAACCCAAGCTTAATGCAGTTCTACCAAGCCTTTATCTGGATTTAGCTTCAGATCATGAATGTACAAAGTCCATGTCCTTCTCTGCCAGAACGGGTCAGGTGAGGCTTTTCTGACAGTATTAAAATCAACTGTTTACACTTAAGTAGATTCAGGGTTTTGTTGAGTCATTGTACTTTGGCTTCACCTTTGATACAATCACTCTATATTTCACTTAAGTGTATTTTCTGCCACAATTGCTAGCAAATTCACGCTTGCTTACCTTGTAAGTCTCCTTTTCACGATCCTGCTTAATTTTGGAGATGGAGCTCATGAAGAAATCTGTAACACCACTGGGGAAGAAGCTTCTATTCATCTTGACCAAAAGAGGAGTAATGAATGGACATACAGCTGAAAAACAAATTGAGAATAAAATCGCACACTGTAAACAAACTCCACCTCATATAAGATAGCTATGGGTGTTACTGAGGAAGTAATCATGCTGCTGAGAACTTACTTCCTCTCTTGATTTCTTTACCTGGGCAAAGCCTGGGCTTTGCCTTTTTTTCCTTTCTCTTTCTTGGGTTAGTTTGTCTTGACGCAACCCTCCCCCAAGTTCCTGTCAACTGGGCACAACTGAGGTGGGTATAACCTTTGCTTTAAGAGATGGCCAAAGCATATGCCACCTTCTTTTTCTAAGGCACTACTTTCTAGGGAGAGGTTACTTCTGTGCATTGAACAGCACTATGCAAGGAATGTGGCTTAAGAGAAATATGGCAAGTTCTGAACTCTTTTTTTTTTTTCAGGCTGAGCTATTCACTGCTGTGCTATGCTCATGCAAACATTTTCAAGTCCCCTTCAGAGCATTTCCTTCATTATAGAAACTGGATCTTGAGCTTGTGTATAGATTCCTTATATCTACAGCACCAGAACCTCCTCTATGCACAGATCACAACTTTCCCTGTGTTTTAGCAAGGTATCTAATCTTGATTTAAGCTTGCAAGTGATTTAAGGTCCATCTCCATCACCGTAAGCTATTGCACTGCTAGGAAATTGCATCTAATTACAGTCCCCACTCACACTCTCTTCCAGAAAATGCATTTCACCACCCCCCTCAAGCCTCGCAGCTGAACTTGCTTTTCAACCTTTGAACGATTTTCCAGCACTTATTTGGATATTGGCAGGGGTGTTCATATGTTTCTTGCATTGTGGATGCCAAAGGTGGAGGAAGTTTTTACCCATATCCTTCCCAGAAGGATCCTTCCCTTCTAGCATGAAGCTAACAATGAGGAAACAAGACGAGCCATTAGGACTTCCATCCTAGCTAGTCAAGTTACCTAAGCAATAGTTGATTGGTTAATGTATAGGATGCACCAGTCTGATCTGCTTGCTAAAGTCACACTTCCGTAGTACTGACACCTGAATGAAGTTTTCAACAAAAATGTCACCTACATATAAAGAGAAAGAGTGGGCTAAGAAAGTCAAACTTGACCAACTTCTGCACCTCTCTGACAAAGGGGTCTTTGGGGTTGTTCATGGAGTCGATGTTCACCCCGAACGAAGTGCTGGTGGTGATGTCCATGCTGTAGCTTCCAAAGATGCTGGAAAGATGGAAAAGATACTATGGTTAAATATTGGACCAAGTGAATATATTTTTTCCTAGTGTCTGTGACATTCATACAAATTCTCATAAGACCTCCTGCCCTGGTTTTGAAAAGGAAATTGGATATATGGGAACTGAAAAGCACTTATAGTGAAAGGGATAGATTTTTAGAGAGCTTTGGTTTCAAGCCTGCATGGGTTTTGAAATCGGACAGCTTTTCTGAGGATTTTAGAACAGTGTGTAGCTACATGAACAGGTTAGTGCAAGAACAGCATGTGGCTCTTGAGCATGTTAGCTTCTTGGGCAGGGGTGGTAACACACCTTGCTTCTAACATGCCATGAAAATGGTCTTGTTCAACCCAGCACATCCCTATAATATTACAAATTGTCCAAGCCCTCCTTTTATGGGGTTTTTAGTAGGGGAGAGCTCTGTTGGTGTGTGACTACTGGTGCGCAGCTGCTCCTTCTTCATCCCTGCTTTGAAATTAGGGGTGAAATACACACGTTTTGTTCCAGAGCCCATATGGAGGGCACAGATGAGGATGACGCACCTGGGGCCACACTACAGCCTCCTGCCCCACTCCCCCCAGCAATGGGACAAGTGATGGATGAGCATCCCACAGTGCTGTGTGGGGCAGAGAGGCCAGCATCCTGCGGTATAAGAAGGTGGTGCACAGAAATCCTGAGTATGTGCAGGGAAAACTGGGTTTTGCTGGTGGATTTAGGGTTATCTTGGATCTGTGGATTCACAAAGCTGTACTGGAGCATTTTTCTCCCCATCCAATTCACTTTAGAAGACTTCTCTCTGGGTCTCTGCCTCTAGGAAGTTTCACTAACATCCCAGCTTAAATTTTCCCTTTCAAATTTCCAGCCAGGCTTTCAGCTAGTCCAGCTCTTCATTTCAGAGGTCTGGTTTACCCAGCGAGCAATCTGCATTGCCAGTAACAAATGAACTGCAGCACTTGCTAACAAGGTTTGCTGCTTAGCCTGCTGCTCCTAGCAGCTACTCACTCCTTTACAGGTAGATTGTTGTCCTTTTCTGCTCGCTTTTGAACATTTTTCACCAAAACTTCCCCATAGTGCTTCATTATAGCAAACATCTGTAACACAAACCAGAGATGGTCACTTAAATATAGTACATTTTATTCCTTTAAGACAGGCTTACAAAGACTACAGGGTGTTTCATGAATATTTATAAATAAAGATCTTTCTGCTAAGGTTTTATTTTAAGCCTTTTTCATTTTAAATTAGGCATAAATTAAACAGGCCAGCTTAGTTGCCAGGCTCTGACTAAAGAAATCAGACCCCTATAACAATCTCAGCCTGAAAACACTGATTTAGTTTGTACCTGCTTCTCTGTGTTTTACCTCCTTTAGTTTCCCACTGGTGAAGGTTGGAGAGAGCACAGTGCGAATCCTTTTCCACTGTTCATCTTCGGCTAATGAGAGAGCATTGGCCAGCTCCCCTGCTAGATCTACTCGCTAGAGGGAAAAAAGGCAAGGTGTTAACCCCAGAAAAGTTGGCGGCTTCCTTGCAAGGGTGGCAATGTAGCATGCAAGTCCCTGCCCAGGCTATTTCAGGGGCATTACTGCTGGCAGCAGGCTAAGGCCTTACAAACAGCCTCTCTCAAGACACACATACATAAATAATCCCCTTTTCTGCCGTAAACCAGCTGTGAGATGCCATTTCTATATCCAGAACAAGTAACCCAACAAGCCCATCACCTGTATGTATGTGTGTACCCACACCTAACCATGCCACCCAAAGCCTGCATCCCAGCTGGAGGCACATGCGCTAGCTGGACCCTTACAGATTCCGGCACGCTCACACAGTCTCAAATTCATCCGTATATATAGGTGTGAGAGCAGAATTTGTCTGATGTGCAGGCTGTATGTCACTGTTCCTCTGCCAGGCTGGGTATGCAGTCCCCAGGCCGTAAGGCAGGGGAACAGTGACATACAGTGGCCATTTACAGTAATCCCTATAGTGCAGTCACTCGTCTCCTAGGGGAACCCTGCTGTATGCTTGGCATGCTTGTTTCCTCCTGTACTTTGTTTTTTGGACTCTGTGACACATCACAATGCTTCTGCTCTTACCCTCCGGTTGGTAAAGGTGGAGTAACAGTCTTTAACCAGCACAGATTTAATGATCTGGGGGGTCCATGACAGCCACCACAGGTTGCCTGCCATCATAAATCCTGGTGGGGGGAGGAGACAAATAAACAACCCTTGAAGTGCAAGGCTTGGCTGATGCCCATGAAACAAAATGCATTAAACAAACGTCCTCCATCACCAGCCTTGCTGTTCTGCAGATGCCTAAGTACAGAAATGTAGAAAGTAGAGATGGAAAAGAACTCCCAGGCCTTCTCCCATCTGGTTTTGTAAATGATAAAGGGGGCTAAACACCTTCCAAATTCACTGGGAAATGAGCAGGGCTCAGTCCCTCAAAGGACCAGATACTAAATGAAGCAAGTGTCTTCACTTTCTCCCCTGACTCTGTGTTTTTCCAGGCACTTAAACACGTTACAGTATTAGAAGGAAACTTGTTCGACCCCTTTCAGACTCTTGAATTGGGTGTCTGGAGACAGGCTGACAGCACTGAAATGTCCTTGGAGATGAAACTCAATCCTTGTTTTTGTCTTTTTAAGCTGCCAGTTCTGAATGCTTTCCTGGAACAGATGTAGATTAAGTGGATTTATGCACTTCCTCGTTTATATAAACATATCTTTTCCAGACTCCATTTTTTAAAGTTGCTATAGGGACCAATGGATGCATTATAGAGGATATGCAAGTTTGTAGCCCAAGTTATAACAGCAGCGATAAAAGTCATAGGAGATGTCCAGAGCAGAGCAACGATAGCTGTACTAGCTCCCACCGCAGCAGGTAAGGATCAGCAGCGCAAGGATGTTGGCAGACTTTGGATCTGCTTCTTCACTCGGTATTGGGAGTCACTCACATTCCTCTGCTGTTGGTAAACCAGAGGAACCCAACCTCCAGTTCCAGATTCTCCCTTAAGTAAATAGTAGCTTTGCTGCTGATTTTTTTAGGAGCAGGTGAGGGCCTTTTGTTATCAGCTTTAAAAGAGCTTTCATAGTATAGGTCAAAGCAACTTCCATATAGCGTGACAGCAGCACAGCCCTGCAATCATCAGGCTTTAATGTAAGTCACCACGAGCACCCTATCGTTGGTGTTCTCATTGTGCCGGGACCGACAGGGCTGCAGGTAGAGAAAAGGGAGCTTTCCTAATGAAATTTTTTTCTCTGCTTTTTATGGATTCTAGTTTTACCTTAAGAAGAGATCAGTGGTTCATACTCACCCCCAGACTTTCCCATATTTTTGGAAACATTCATTGTCAAACTCCAAGAAACCCTGTGGAAAGCAATTTAAAAATTATCTCAGTGAGGATGCAGTGGAGGGGATGATGCTGGAGAGGCTGGGTTGGGTGGAATATCTGTAAACTGATGTTCAGAGCTGCCTTCTGAGTTCTCCTCCTCTCCAAAAACATCACGAAAGACAGCATAAACATACATAGTGCTTGTGAATGAGCTGCTTGCCAGGATGTGCCAGCAAAGGGCAGCTGTAAATCAGCCACCCACGAATGCTTGTTTGGAGATGCTGTAAAGGCAAGGCCCCATGGCCTGGGTTACTGAGCCCTTATCCCACGCTGGCCTTCGCACAGCCTGTGCGTTACAGCGGAGCTTGGCATTTGGAGATAACTTATCATCGCCATGTATCTGCTTAGCTACAACTGTATGAGCAGGGGTGGATATTTCTGGAGCAGGCAAGGCTTCGGTCACTTACTTTGCGATACGCCAGGTATGTCCCAAAGAAAGGCAGAGGTCTTGGCCCAGGAATACCCAACTTCTTGAACAAACCAAATGGCCATGTCCCATATCTATGGGACAGAAAAGACAACTGAGTGCTACATCACCGTGGCCCTGGGGCTGTGAGCTCTCCTAAATCTGGAGACTGCAGCAACATCCCTTTGGCTCTAAGTAGAGGAGGTTGATCCAGGAGCTAGAAAAAAGTGGCCCAAAAGAAAATTGCCCTGTAAGAACTGTTTAATAATCATGGTAAGGCTCACTGCTGCCACACAGAGCTTCAGAGAGATCACTTTGATGTAAACGCAGCTGTCTCCTGAAGGCATAGGTGCTCTGGTGGAAACAGGACCTTAAAGCCTTTAGCAAAAGTCAAAAGAGGAGATCATTGCCAACCAAAGGAGAGGCAGAAAAGGGAGCTGGAAGAAGGAATGCCAAGCTTACATGTTTTTATTGAAGAGAAATCAAAGCAGTGCCAGAAGTGATGTCCCAAACAGGGCTTTTGTCAAGTTGCACTTTAATTTCATTTATTGTTCTCCCTCCCCTTAGCCTGGCATTAGCTCAGTGGTGCGTCAGGAATTCTTGTCTTGATGGTTTTCTCTTTAGATTTTATTGACAGCTTTGCAGATTTCTTTCCTCTGAAGCACCCTTTTTGGCAGCTGTAAAGTTATTACTTCTACCTCGGGGCCTTCTGTTTCTCAACAAGGGCCTGGGCTGCAGCCTTTTGAATCTTATCTTTGGCTGTGTTGAAAGAACTCCTCAAAATATTTGTTTTTAGTTAGCAGCTGCAGCTTCCCAAGTGAGTGGTTCATCGCAGAAGGGACGTAAAACTGCAAAGGTTTGGCAGAGGGATGTTATCAGAGATCCTTTTTGGGCCGTGTGGCAGCAGCCACTCAGCCAGCATCTTGGGGATGCTTTCCTGAAAAGCCAGAGTCCAGGCTGAGACGTAGGGGGATTTCCGTTGCAATTAGTAACACTTTTCTAAATCTGGGGGACCCCAAATGAGATCAGTCCCCCCAGCACAGGTTCTGCCAGAGCACAAAAGCAGACCTCATTTTTATGGCCCAAACAGAGCAGGCAAAAAACAGGTAACGGTGTGTTTGCAGGTGCAGAAAGGTTTCAGAGAGCTCAGTTTGTCAACATTCAACCTTTTCTGTCAAAGGCTAATTCGGTACTAGGTATAAAATGTTTGTGGATTCTCATTTGTAATGTTTATGGGCAGCCGGGGCTGCGGGAGGACCAGGAAATGCTGGGCTGGGCTGGTTACAAAGCCCAGAAACACTATAGGAACATAGGCTAGGCTAGGCTTTGTCCATTTGAAACATGGCCAGGAAAACAGTCTAATGCTTTTACAACTAAAACGTGACGTGGTTTTCTGCAGGCTGAGAAGGACTATTCAGTGTAAAGCCAGAGAATAATCATCACTTCTTCTTACCATGGATGTGAACCAGAAAAGCCTGATATTCCTTCATGTCTGAACTGGAACAGCGTTGCCCCAGATGAAAAAGAAACATCTGAACAACCTCGCTGTGCTATATGGGCAGTGAAATTTCTATTTTAGCTCAGATATCAGAGCACAAAGATCTGGGCTTTGTCCCTTTTGCCACAACAAAATTGTAAGTGGCTGCAGAAGGTGGGAGTCTGGTAACCAGCAATCTCAGATGGCCACAGTTATTGAAATATGAGGGTTTGGGTCAATAATGAGGGTGGTTGGGTTTTTGGGGGGGTTGTTTGTTGGTTTGGGGGTTTTTTTTAAGAGTCTGCCCCAAACAAGCTTTCGAGTGATCCAAATCACAGGAAAGAGTTTGAAAAACAGGACTAAAAGTTTCAGAGCTTACTGAACTGCCATGGTTGGAGCATTGCCAGGGCAGACAAATGGGTTGTGCTCGTGTGCACCACATTAATCATTAAGGTTTACGGCTAGCAACATTCTGTCTCTGCCTAAGGGCTTGTCAACACTACAGAGTTTGTCAGTCCAGCCTTGTTGGCAGGGGCTGCCAGCGGAGACACTGTATGTCCCAGCAGAAGGGGGTTTTCAGCCAGCCCTGCTACGCTACAGGGCCGAACAGCATCAGCAAAGTGGACAAAAGCATTTTCTCGCTAGCATGGCTCCTCTGAAGCAGCGGGGTACACTTCTGCCTGATGGAGTCTGTCTGAAAAGCCAGGAGCAGAGAGCTGACCTTGCTCTGGGCTTCATTTCTTCCCCCAGCAAGTGTGGGCTGTGGGGACCGGCATGGGATGCTGTCCCTGCAGGCGTGTGGCAAATCTAACTTCTGTAAAGTGTCCCTCCTGGTCCAGGTGCCCGTGCATGGAGCGTCTTACCTGACCACTACGGATGGAGTCAGGAAGAGTAAGAACTGATCCTATGAATTTCTGGTGCCTTTCTGCTGCTCTCCACCTTTACAGGTCATGCAGCAGTGTCATCTACTGCCTGCTCCGCTCCATAGGGCAACCTCAGTCAGGGAGGCACAGCCTTCCTTAGACTGTATTTCTGTGGAAAATAACCTAACGGATCATGATCCTCACTGAAGCCAGCACCCTGCTGGTAACGAATGCCTGGCACCATTATTATTCGATTATTGCTTTGATGCTTAGCAGCAAGCTCGTAACAGTGCACGGGAACACTCCAAACCTTGGAGCAAGATCACGCGTCTGTACGGTCTTTAGACTCCTCTGCTATTTCCCAGAGCCTCGTTAGAGGCTGGAAATCTGGAAATCACACCTACCTCTTTGCTCTTTGGCAGTCTAGTTGCATGAAAACGAACAATGGCAAGAACAGGAAAATGGTATGAGCAAAGAACCAATAAAGAATATTTTACTCACGCTACCAGGAGGGCCACAAAAATAAGCAAAAGGGCCCATGTCTCTGTAGAGAAGGAGGGCAGCAGGTTCATTTTGGTACTTCTCTGGTTGGCTTCGAGTTCTGTTTTGATGTGTTTGTCCTAGCTCTGTGGGAAATAGGAGCGTTTTGCAGTGTGCAATCTTTTGTGTCAAATCATATGATTTAGGGGCCGTCCTTCTGTCGTGAAGGAGGAGTGGAAGGCAAAGGTAGCAAACTATGCTAACCTGAAAAACACGATTCCTGTGATAGATAAATGCCTGGCTGAACTGTCTAAGGTTCAAATTATTTAATACGTCTGTTGCCAGGCATTCCAGCTAGTTTCTCTGTTGTAATACTAAGTAATAACTGACTTCTTATTGGGTAATGCTCCTGGGCTCCTACACCAAAATAAATAAAACCAAGTTACAATGAAAAGGTAAATCCCAAAGCAGGTGTTGGTTTACAAAAGTGAAAGAGAAGTGAAAAGGTTATTCATATATTGTACGACAAGATCTTTTCTGGCAGCTGAATTAACTTTGGTAGAATTTAAGATTTGGTTTAAAATATCTTTCTTTCTGTGTTGTAAAAAGCAAGTGCTGACTGCTTCTGCCTGTGATGGGTCAGAAGCAGCTTCTAACAAAGGCAGGAATTTGCCCCTTATAAAGGCTTTAGAAGTCCACCTTGTTTGCTGGCTTGTGGCCAGGCGTTTTGTAAGAGAAATACTGTCATTCCACAACTGCAAGCAGTTAAAGTACCATCATCTCCAAAACACCAGCTCATGAATAAAAACAGCATGCACCCTTCTGCAGCAGCTGGCAAGAAGACACAAGCAAAGGGAAAACAGATTTTGTAATGGTTCTCCTGTAAGGATGGTGCAGAAAATTGATAGCATCCTAGAGGTATAGATGTGCTAAGAGAAGATTACGACGGTGGAGAAAGCTGGGCTGTTTGGATGGTGTTTGTTAGTGGCCATAATGTTAGGGCAGGAGGCTATATGGTTTGCACAGATGCGTACTACAGCATCTTTAGGGCTTCATTCAGAAGTCTAAAATGAGCAATTCCCTTCCTATTGGCAGAGCTGCCATCTTCAAAAGTTTACTGACTGCACGGGGTGCAAATAACTGGGTGTTATGAATATTTGGCACATTAAATGCCTCATGTCTCCAAGGACGTTGCTGTAACTGATTCTGAGTTGACTGATAAGTGGGTCTCAGTCCACATGGTGATACAAGACATTGAGAGTCATCATCTGACTTATCTCAGCAGCATTTGTATCTCATTTCACCTTTGCTTGGCCTTTGCTCTGACCTTCAGAGACAACTCAGTTGCAGATTATTTTGTAATAAACACAGTCTACTTTAGTTTGACATGAACAGGCAAGTTCATGACATAGTTATAGAAGCCTGTGTTGGGTCCTACCTTGCTTGATTCAGAGACGTTGAAAGACCATGTGATTAAATAGGTGCTTTCCCATTCAGGAGCTTATCACAGTAGTGATTGTTTTTCCCTTTGCACATTTTGACATAGCCTTGAAATCTGAATTTACTGAGCACCAAATATTCCTGACTCACCATGTTGGGAAACAGGTTAATACAGTTTATTCACGTAATAGGATTGCTGTACGGCTGTCCATCCTCAGTAAAAATAAGCCTCAATCCTTGTCCTGTTTGGATCATTTTTAAGCATAAGAATAGTCTCTGGAAAAACTTATAAAAAAACAGATAGGTGCAAAGTCTGGTTGCTGGTTTTGCATTGCGGTCTTACGACCTCTGCCAAATGGACTGTGGCTATTGACTTCAAACAAACAAACAAAAACCCACCATCCCCTTGAGAAAGCTGATAGATAAACAAAAGAAATCCTCATGTGCTTAATCCATGCCAGAGGAAAGTCAATGACCCAGGAACAAATGACTTGATTTTCACGTCACATGTAAGTCCAGCTCAGAGCTGGGTTTGTGCCCTAACTTTCCCCATATTAAAACTGTAAACCTCCAACTCTAGGCTGTGGTGCCCCCTAAACTGCTAGGGGGTACAGCATGCTAGCCGGGAGGTCATGTTTGAGAGGTGGCTTGGGCACCTTCAGAGGGGAGCCCGGGGAAGACTTCTCTTCCTGCCCTCCATCTCTGGGAGGGAGGAGAAACATCAGCTGTTTGGCATCGTCTTCAGCCAAGGCTGAACTGCACCTCACAGAAATGGTGGGAAGGAGGAGACCTGCATGGCCAAGCCCGAGCCTACCCTCTCCCTTCCCAGCTGAGGTCTCTGCCCACCTGGATGCAGTGCACCAAGCCATCATGATTGTCCCTTCACCCTATCCGAGTCCTTTAGATGTGTCTTATTCCTTACCACCACAGCTTTTAGGCCCGTCCTCTGCTTCTCCTGGACATTTTGAAGTGCACTGCATCCCATCATGGGTTTTGGTGAGCGCACCACCCCAGGCGTCTGGAGCAGAGGCGCGCTGCTCAGGGGCATGAGAAGGTGCAAGCCCAGATGGAGGTGCAATTATACCTGTGGGAACACCCTGCTAGTGACACAGCTAGTCTCATTCATGGGTGACAACATCACACATGATGTGCAGTGCACAGTGGATATGCGGCGCTCATCCTCGTCATTTAGGCTGCTGCATTGTATGGTAACTCCTGTGTTGCCACCGTGCCTCCAGGACAGCCACAAGCTGAGGGTGACAGGTTTAAAAAGCCAAAGTTTGCAGCAAATTCAGAAGAGAGCTGAGCTGCTTTTCCATTTCTAATGCCCCTAAGTAGCTCAGATTAATGGCTTTCAGGAAAGCAAAATAACACCACGTTGTTATTTGCAGTGTAATGAAAGGAGTGCTCCTAATCCAGGTTGTGAACAAGGTGTGATGAGCAGGAGGGATTTCTTGTATAATAATGACTGGGGGGCTGGGCAGTAAAATGGAAGAACATGTATTTCTTCCACAGGCTGTGAAACCAATTGATGTAGGGTGAGAAAAACACTGTGGAATAACAATTATGACTGGGGCACAGGTGTGAAGAAAGAGCAGTTCAGAAGAGAAAGAGCTATTGGCAAAAAAAAAAAAAGCCACAGTGGGTAACGTTTTGTGTTCATGATGAAAAGGACTGCATGGGCGTAAGGAGGGCCGGGCTGGATAAGCCTGAATCTTTAGGTCTAACTCACTTTTGAGTACAATCATGGAAGAGGTTCTCCTGAGATACTTTGGGGAATTTGTTTTGGATTCCCAGGGCTGTACCAGTTGTGGTAGAGACTCTGCAGTGCTACTTGGGATATAAATATTGCTGGGGAGTTCTATCATTATGGAGTACTTTAAACTCTCTAGATATGGATCATAAAAAATGCTACTAATCATGCAGAACTCAGATAATTTCTGTATGGGAGATGGCAGATTTATGCACTGGAGAAACACCAAACTGGCAAGCAGTGGAACTGGTTTAGCTTCGGTGTTGATAAGTAATTTAAGATATTCTAGAAGAACAGTTAGGAGCAAAATTACCTTGGGCTGAACGAAAAGCATTCCTTTAGTTTAATGTAAGTAGAAGTATAAACAAAAATAAGCTTATAATTAAGGCTCTCTTTTGCAAGAGGGCAAATTAATGAAACAAACCAGTGGAAGATCTCAGGGCCTTGAGGGTAGACTGTGCCTGCTTCCTTTTCAAGTCAAGGGTGCTAATACTATCAGCCAGTTGCGTGCCGAGAGACTTGCAGGAATGGACTTTACACCAAACTGGCTGAACAGCTACATTAAAAAGGGTGCTCAGAATAAACCAACCAGATAGGAGGTGGAGAAAAAAAAAAAACAACAATGACTTTGTAGTTCAAGGTATACTGTTATATGTTCTGCCCATAAGATCTTCTGGGATGGGAGCTTGTTTCTGTGCCCGACTCAGAGCAGCCCAGTGGTTGAACATACTAGCTCGCTGGGGTCCAGCGTATCGGTGACACTTCTCACCCCTTTGGAGACATGCCCCGAAAAACCTTTGTTTGTTTAGTCTAGCTAAATGATAGCTGGGTTGGAAGGTGGTTGCTATAAGGTAAATGCCAGGTAGAAGAGCAATTTAATCAAATTATGATGTTGGCGCAGGGACAAATGGGTATAACCCAGCCATGAATAAATGCTAGGTTGGAAATGAGCATAGTCCTGGCCTGGAAAGCCAGGAGTCTTCCCATTATGGGGTTAAAAGAAAGAAAAAAAGCTCAGATAATGCAAAATGGGGCTAGATAAGACAGCTGCTGGTGGGAGGAGGGAGCAATACATTAAATTTCTTACCAGTGCTCTTCTGCCAGAGCAATGTGAGGAGTTCGCTTTCTGCATAGGCAGATGATATGGGGAGGCAACTATTTATTTTCCCTGATACACAGTGGTTTAGTTACCCACAGGAAAATACTTCATAACGAAGTCGACATTTTGTTGTCAGTAGTTAAAATATTGATACACTGCTGCTGGACAAAAAAATCGATGTATTTGGAGGGGTCTCTAATGATACTTTGTATAGTGCTGTGTATAGATCACTGATACCCTCCTGCACATAGATTTCCTTGGGATTTAAAAAGCTTACAAAAAACCTCAACAAAAAAGTAATTAATTCCCCTGGATGTTTTGTTCCAAATACTGAGCTTTGGAACTACACAGAAACTAGGACATTTTCCTGATGTTTTTTCAGTTAAAGTAATATCCCTGATACATACCAATCTTCCTTCATAATCTTTACAATATATCATTATATTCCTTTTCATTCTAAGAAATGACAGCCACAAAAGCTATATGAAATCTGGACAGCTAATTAACTCTGCACACTGCATTCTTCTGCCCAATCCAATCAAATGTACGTTTGAGGTTCTCTCACTTTAACCTTATAAAATGAGTTAAGAAAAAATAAAGTATCCTGCTAGCTCTGCACATGACTTCTTACCTGCGATGCAATGAAAGATGGGGTTACATCCCACAAGGGAGCAGCAACAACAATCCTGGACAAATGCAAACTAGAAGAGATGCATTTCCAACACAAGGTGTAAGATCATGTTCTTTCCTGGATATTATAGGGAATATAATATCCTTGATGGGGCAGCTGCGTGCGAGTG